GATTACGGTAGGAACTTCCAGCATACACGTCATTGTGAAATAGACCATTCAAACAAAAAGTTCCAAAAATATCTGGAGTTGTGTAATAGCGTTTTTGGACAAGCTGACTTCACCAAACAACCATTTTCTGGTTTTTAATGAGTTTAGAATGGTCTAGTCACATTTTTGAAAAGTTGCTGAAAAACTTCATTGCGACTCACTTGACATACTTATGGTAAAAACCTTACGGTATTGTGCGACTTTCATATTAGTAATCAGCTACTCATTTTAGCTTAATTATAGAGTTTTTGGGTTGTTGAGTATCTCTTCTGGGGGCCACATGTAGGTATTAATGGTCACAACCTTGTTCAAAGTTCCTACCGTAATCCTACAGTAATGAAGGAAGATGGGCGACTTATTACATACTGTAATTCTAAGTTGAAGCCTCCTCTATCAAAGGGGACACCCTGTATTAGATTGACGCCTAATCTTGCACCAAAATTCCTGGTCTGTAACTTCATCCAGCTTCAATGAAATCTTTTGATGTGTTCGATAAAAGAGAGAGGAAGTCGTGCGAGTTCTGAAGGTGCTTAAATCTGCTTCATATAAGGAAACGATATAGCGTGATCCAGAGAAATACTCAAAACGTGATTTTTCATTTGATCACTAAAATTGCTGAAACTCTAGTAAAATTGATTTGTTTTTGACTTTAGACATACTCTTCTTAACTAATAAAAGTCTGTAGTGATTGGGTGCCTCTGCGGATAGTTACATCGATTTTTTGAAATTGACTTACTGGTTTTGTTCATTTTGATTTTTTAGAACGTACCATAAAATACCAGTTTTGTACATAACAATAAGCATGTCACATGTAACAATAAGCATGTCCTAATACAGTGACTCTAAGCGGCTTGCCGCAAAGCGTCGTGCGACCAAACTTACCCGTGTCCGCGCCATGCCAGCGCCGTGCTAGCGTCGACCGATCAATGCAGTTCTCGTGCACGATAGCACATGCTGGCACTGCGCTAGCACATCTCCGGCAGTGCGCAACTCTGTACGCTGCTTCAGTCAAAAGCCATTATGGAGCGTGTCACGCGTGGTTCTTTCGCGCATTCAAGTCAAAAAAGCATCACGTCGTGCAGAAGTTCTACTCATAGAGATTCGTAACCAGACTATAATTTTTTCAGTGACATCTAGATCATCAGAGCAATGCCTAATGACAGCATCAAGACTTCCCTCTTCGCTCATTTTCTTCATATCTGTGCTTTTAATGCTATGCCTCACCTCTGCATGTGTGGCAATTTATCTAGGCTATAAGCTTTTGAGGATGAGAAAGGT